CCTCATCTCCCTCAGGTGTTCCACTGATCACCCTGATCACCCTCCATTGATCACCCTGATCCCCCTCCATTGATCACCCTGATCACCTTCCACTGATCACCCTGATCACCCTCCATTGATCCCACTGATCCATTGATCACCCTGATCACCCTCCATTGATCCCACTGATCCACTGATCATCCTCCACTGATCACCCTGATCACCCTCCATTGATCACCCTGATCACCCTCCATTGATCCCACTGATCCACTGATCATCCTCCATTGATCACCCTCCATTGATCACCCTGATCACCTTCCACTGATCACCCTGATCACCCTCCATTGATCCCACTGATCCATTGATCACCCTGATCACCCTCCATTGATCCCACTGATCCACTGATCATCCTCCATTGATCACCCTCCATTGATCACCCTGATCACCCTCCATTGATCACCCTGATCACCCTCCATTGATCCCACTGATCACCCTGATCACCCTCCATTGATCACCCTGATCACCTTCCACTGATCACCCTGATCACCCTCCATTGATCTCACTGATCCACTGATCATCCTCCATTGATCACCCTGATCACCCTCCATTGATCACCCTGATCACCCTCCTCTGATCACCCTGATCACCTTCTATTGATCACCCTGATCACCCTCCATTGATCCCACTGATCACCCTCCATTGATCCCACTGATCCACTGATCATCCTCCATTGATCACCCTCCATTGATCACCCTGATCACCCTCCATTGATCACCCTGATCACCTCCATTGAACTCACTGATCACCCTGATCACCCTCAGGGGTTCCCACTTGTGGAGGGCTCCCTCCCTGGAGATCTGTCCCCTAAGATAAGAAAGAAGTACTTAGTCATGGTGACTGAGCTGTGGAGCCCTTCCTGCACTGGGACCCCATGTTATCCTCAGTTGCATCCTCAATTACTCACACCCCGTGTTATCTCCCTGTGAACTGTTGCTCATTTTACCCCATCTCAGACCATTGGTCCCTTTCCCAATTCTCCCCTTCCCTATAAAAGCCCTGTTTTTTGCCCAGTTCAGTGGATGTGGCCCTCCCTGGCTCCCTTTGCTGATGCCTCCCAATAAAGGACCCCATGAAACACCATACAGCACCCCCTCTCTTGACTACTGGGGTAACCCATGAGCGGAGCTGGGCTGATCTGAGCTATCACAGAGCCAAAATCCCTGCTAAAACAGCTGATCACGTGAAGCCTCAGACTGCTCCTGAGGGTTACCCCTGGCTGGAAGCTGCCCAAGGCTCCCTGGACAGCCATTCCTTCCAGGACCCCTATCTGGGGTGGCAGAGCTGGGGGTCAGACAGACCCCTGGAACCAGCCATCAACACCCACTCAGCACCTTGACCACCCTCAGTGGTTACCCTGACCACCCTCAGCTGTTCCCACTCAGCACCTTGACCCCCCCAGGTGTTCCTTGACCCCCTCAGGTGTTCCCACTCTGCCTTGTGTGTTCCAGGTGTGGGAGGTGACCTGCCCACGATGCTTGGGTGGCTGTGGTGGTGCCCAGCCAGTCCTTTAGCTCTAGACCTGACAGCCCTCAGGTTCAGCAGTGATTTGTCTGTAGATGTCAATCCCACACTACACCTTGCCCTGAACCAGAACCCCTTTGAAGCCCCATACCCAAAGCATCCCGAAGGGTCTCAGTGGGGTGTTGGTACAAGCAGGGTGTGATCTGGGGCTGGAAAGGGGAATGAAGAATCCCAGGAAAGGATGTGCTCCATTTGATAGGAAGGGGGAAAACTGCTCTGTTCTAGCTGAATCCAGGAGCAGTGAAAGAGCAGCTGTGGAGTTTGTGACCCTGGTNCCGGGCCCTTCAGGGCGCTGCGAGGCAGCGGCGGCCGAGCGGGAAGGCGGCCCAGGGGCTGCAGGCACGGCCGGGCAGGTGAGGGCTGAGCACGCTCTGGGAGGGGAGGCTGAAGGAGCTGGGGGCTCCTGCCTGGACCAAAGGAGCTTTTTGCTTTCCACAACTCCCTGACAGGAGGGGACAGCGCCAGGTGGGGCTCTGCTCGAGGGGAACAGGGACAGGAGGAGAGGGAATGGCCTCAGGTACACCAGGGGAGGCTCAGGTTGGACATCAGGAGGAATTTATCCGTGGAAAGGATGGTCAGGCATTGGAAGGGGATGCTGTCCCCTTCCCTGGAGCAATTCTGAATAACTGAGAAAGAGATTTGTGATTTTTTTTCCAGATATTTTCATCTATCCCAATGCAGTCTGGTATTTTGCTACTGTGATTTCTTAATCGTTAATGAAATGTTTTTCTTAGAGCCTCAGCAGAACTTGGAGCAGTGAATAAACAATCAAGTTTCTCCCAGCAGGAAGAAGGGAAAGGCATCTGAACACAAAGATCAGCTCTCCAGGCTGAAGGACAGAGACCCTGAGTTTTATAAGTTTCTGGAGGAGAACGATCGCAAGCTGCTGGATTTTGATGCCTCAGACAGCTCTGAGGAGGAGGAGGCTCTGCACAGACCCCCTGATACACTCGAGGTACCTGCTTGGGACTACTGGGATCAATTAAATCCATGTGCAGTGTTTGTGTTCTAGTGCCAGACCTGAATCATGGAATGATTTGGGTTCGAAAGGAACTTGAAAGTCACCCAGTTCCAGCCCCAACACCTTCCACTGTCCCAGGCTGCTGCAAGCCCCGTCCAGCCTGGCATTGGACACTTCCAGAAATCCAGAGGCAGACACAGCTTCTCTGAGCACCTGTGCCAGGGCCTGCCCACCCTCACAGGGAGGAATTTATTCCCAATATCCCATCCAAACCATTCCTGCTTTCCACAGTGTGCTGGCAACAGCATTAATCAATCAGCCCTGCCTGCCTCCCTCCTCATCAGCTGCTCAGTAAAGGAGCTGGGGCCAGGCAGGAGTTGTAGAAACATTTCCTCAGTCTCTCCTGCTGGTCTCTCTAGGTAGCCAGTGATGAAGATGAAGATGATGAAGATGAAGAACAAGAAAAAGTCAAAAGGAAGAAAGTTTCCTTCATCCATGTGAGCTTGAAAATGGTGGAGGAATGGAAGAAAGCTGCCCAGGTGAGCTGGGAGTTGCAACACAAAGCACTGGAGTGTTCTCTGCCCTGCCTATAAAAGGCCAGTTTGGGATTTGTTAATCTGGCACAAAATGTATGTCCCAAGCCCCCAGAGCTCTTGTGCCTTCAGCATGGCTGTCATTTCTCTTGGGCTGCAAGATTCAAGTACTTCCATTCCATATGAAGGAGAAGCTGCAGAAATGTGACTCAGAAGAGGCCAGAATGATCAAATTTGGATTTTTCATCCTCTTGCTAAGTCTTTGGCAACTCCAGGAGCTTTCTTAGTCACATACTTAGTAGTGATGGAATAGCTGAGGGGAATGAAGCTCAAACTGGAAGTTGCTTGCAGCTAATTAATTCCTTCTCAAGCCTCAGCAATTAAAAGCCAATTTTAGGAGAGTTGAAGGCCACTGAGTTTGTCAACCCTGCCTTGATGCTTGGGCATGGAGCTCTTTTTGGCATCAAAGCTCCAGTGAGTTCCAGTACTCCTGACCCAGTCAGGAGCTTCAGAGTTACAGGAGATCCCTTGCTTCTTCTCCTCAGCAACCTCTTTTCTTCTTTCCCCAGAGGAATCTCACCCCAAAACTCTTCCATGAAATCACCCAAGCCTACAAGGCAGCTGTGGCCACCACCAAAGGTGACAGTGGTGGCGACCCCAGCAAGTTCCAGGTGACTGACACTGCAGGTGAGGGAAGGGAAATCATCTGGGGGGAGCTGAGCTGTGGGAGAGAGGGGAGATGGGCACTGGGAGGAGTTAATTCACCCTTTCACTTCATTAAGGAGCTTAATCTTGCTGTGCTGCTCTGGGATCTTTCCTTTCAAGGGTGGGTTCTTGGTGCTGTTTCCTTGGAGAGGTCGCCCCTGTACCTTCTAATCTTTGATAAAAAATTTGAATAGAAGGCAAACTGGGGATTTCTAGAAGGAAATGCTATAGTTCTGCCATGGAAATTACTGGCTTCAGTTCCTCAGGGACCTCTTTTCCCATTAGGAAAACCAGGAATACATGGACAATCACTTAAAAATGCTTTCCTGGCTTGTTTTACCCAGTGTTCAATGCCCTGGTGTCCTTCTGTATCCGGGACCTCTTCCTCTACCTGCACAAGCTGCTGCTCCCCAAAGCCCCCAAGAACAAACTCAAGTAAGTCTGTGGGGGTTGAGACCTCAGGAAAGCTCTGGGGATTTTCAGAGCTGCCTTTGAAGCTGGGAAAGAGGTGCCAACTCTTCCCAATCACTGAGTGCCTGATGATGCTCTCAGGGGTCTTCTTTTCTTCCCCCCCAGTTGTGTTCCCTGCAGTATCAAACTGCAGGCATTTGCAGAGGATGTGTGGCTTCAGGAGGGTCTGGAATTGCCTGTGCTTGCACTCAGGGGACAGTTCAGGCACTGGAAATCAGTTTTCAGAGGAAGGGAGCAACCTTTCTGTGTCCCTGCAGTGTCACCAGAGCGTGACCCCAGTTCACTCTGTGCTTTGCAGGCAGTTGTTGGTGCAAGGAATTGATCTCACTGCTCGTTTTGCTGCTGAAATCTGATTTATTTGGTTGGGTTTTTTTAAAGCTAAACCCATCTCTTGCTCCTTTCCAGAATGGTTCTCCCTTCCACCAGCCCCCTCTGGGGAAAGCTACGACTGGACATCAAAGTTTATCTTGGCTGTACCATAAAAGTAAGAAATAGCATCATTCTCTGTTTGTGGGGTCAGTCTGTGCCATGCTGGGCTCTTTAGGATATTTTGGAGTGAAGCAGATGGGATTTGCCCCTCTGAAATTTGTGTTCATTGTTTCCCTGTGTTGTTTTGCAATTGTTTGGTCCAATTAACAATTTGGAGGTTCAGAGGATGCTTGGGTCAGAATAGGTAAGGCAGTAAAGAAGGGTTGAATTAACATTCTGGCAGCTCTCTGTTTTAATTTGTCTGGAAGATTAATATTTAATAGGCTTTAAAGTAGTTTGCAGTCTGTATTCCTGCACTCTGCATCATTAATTCATTTTTTGGTGCTGTGATCTCTCCACTTGAGGTAAATACTGAGATGTTCTGTTGCTGATCTCACATGTGGCATCTCTGACTATGACAATGTTCCATCCTCTCCATCCAAAATTTCTGGTGTTTCAGAGACAATTTGTGGATTATTTCTGAAGGAAACTCCTGCCCCCACTTAATTTTCTTTTTATTTTTTTTGAGACCGCTTCATCAGCATCCCCAAACTGGAACATTAAAATCAAACCAACACTGAAACACTGATTCTTCAGCAGCTGAGGGAATGGATAGCAGGAGAGACAACCCAAGAGCTGCTGTCCCTCAGCTGGGAGCTGGCACAATGACTTAGCAGAAAGAGCAATTTGATCAGGAGAGCTGGTTTTTTTTTTTTATTTTCCCTCAAGCTGTGGTGCCTCTCTCCAGCAGAGGATTGCAGACAAGGAAAAGCTGGGAATGCAGTGAGAGCACTCAGTCCCAGCCTTCAGCACAGTGGATTTTCTGGCACAATTTCTGAACAAAATCTTCTCCTTTTGGTGTGTGAGGGACTTGGCAAAGTCTGCTCGGTCCAGAAGCTTTGCAGAGCAAGGGAGGAGGCAGATTGAATGTGGACAAAACGTCTGTGCTGGTTCCAGCAGCTGGGGCTGCACCAGGCAGAGCCTCTCTCAGGGACACCTGGAGCTCACCTTGTCCTCAGACTGGAAACTGGGTTTGTCTGCAATGAGCTGAGCTGAACAAGCTGCAAGCACCAAGATTTGCTTGTCAAAACCTTTCCTTGAGAGAGAGTTAACCCAAATACCCAAAGTATTCCAGCTTCCTACACAGAAATCCTGGAGAAGCCCAGTGTGCTATCAGCCAGCTCAGGTGCTGTTTCCTTGTGCAGACTGAGGGTGAATTTGGCCATTGGCAGTGTGCAGTGTCTACAAGGGAGGTGCTGTGTGATGAGCTCAGGGGCCATGAGCCATGCAGCTGCAGCAGCCTGAGCTCCCATTTTTGGGCTGAGGGACCTGCAGGGCAGCTGTTTAAGCTGCCCTGTGTCTGCCCCTGCCCTGATCCAGCTGTTGGGCTTTCTGTGAGCTCCTTCCTGACCGAGGAGTGTTTGGAAGCAGCAAAATGCAGCTGAGAAAGGGAGGGCTGATGAGCCCTGCTTGCAAACTGGGGGTGTTTTCTTCTCCTCCACAGCTGCTGTCATGCCTGACTGAGGCCTCAGTGGGTGCAGCAGTCCTGCAGCACGTGAATTCCACAGTTCCATATTACCTGTCCTTCCCAAAGCAGTGCCGGGCCCTCCTCAAGGTAAGGGGACGTGCTGGGAGGTGCCATTGGCATCTGAGAGGCTTTTTCCCCCCTTCAGCTGAGCCTTGTGTGGTATTTGGGCTGGATCCCCAGGCAGCTGAGTCCCTTGTAGTGTTTTGCTGTTGTTCCTGGAGAGCATTCCTGCCTCTCTCCAGGTGCCACGAGGTGATGCCAGGCTGAGGTGAGTGTGTGGGTGGCTCTGTTTGTAGCTGCTGCTCCCCAGGGAGGTGTTTTGGGAAGCTGCTTCCTGCTCCCAGATGGAGGAATTGCTGCCAGGCCCTGGGAATGTCTGTGCTGCCTCTCCACTCAGGGAGCTGGGGGTGGAATATTTCTGTGGCAGCTCAGTCACAACTGCTGAGCGTGAACAACAACACAGGAGCTGCCGGGGAGACACCCAGGGCAGCAGGGTGGCAGCTGAGTGCAAGCTGCAAGGCAGCTCTGGGAGGAGGCAGGGAAGCCTTTGATGCTGGAGATGACTGGAATCACGCAGGGCTGGGAGGCTGGCACACCTCACAGCTGAAGGGCTGCTGCAGGCTTTTCTGGGAAGGCATTTGCAGCCCTGCAGTGAGCCCTCTCCGCTCTGCACTGCATCGCTGCAGGGGAGCTGACTCGTGTTGGGGGCACCAGGTGCTTCCTGCCAGGGCCAGGTGAACCTGGGGGAGGTGGAGTCACTCAGGAGAGTTAAATGAGTATTTAACCACAGAAATAAAAGTTGTGTCTGTTTTAGAGGTGCTGGTTTTGGACAGGTTCCTTTATTGATCATGGAAACACCAGCCTTGGCTGTTGTGTGGTGTCCCAGTGAGAGTGTGAGGACAGAAGGGCTGCCAGTGACTGACTGACAGCACATTGTGTCACCTCTGTGTCACCTGCCTCCTGGCTGCCTTCTTGCTGGGAAGGAGCGAGGTTCAGGCCTGTCTGTGGAGCAAGGGGCTCTTTGTGCCTTCACTCACCTGTCTCTGTGTTTGATCCCAGCAAACCATCACTCTGTGGAGCACAGGGGAGGAGACAGTCCGAGTCCTGGCCTTCCTGGTGCTGAACAAGATCTGCAGGTACAAGAAGGAGGTTTACCTCAGCCCCCTGCTCAAGGTAAGCCAGGCTTTTATTGAGATCTGCGTCTTTTCTTCCTCATGTTATGTGCAAATACCTCAGAGCCTTGAGCTGCAGATGGGCCCCTGCTGCTGGAGGTGATGCTGGCAGCCTCCAGAAAACCAAACAGGGCAGAAATTCTGTCAGGTCAGGGTGATTCCTGCTTCCCACTGCTGCCCTTCCTGCTGGGGGCACAGAGACTGAGCAGGGGAGGTCTCTGGTGCCTGATGAGTATTCATCTCCCAGATTCCTGAGAGCTTTCCTGAATGCTGACATCCTCCTGAGCTGCTCTGACCTTTCAGCTGAGTTCCCAAGTGAGTTTTCCTGCCTCAGTGGCACCTGAGCAGGAGAGCTGTGCCCAGCCATCCCCACATGTGCCTCAGACCCTCCTGCAGCCTTGTCCTCTTGCTGCTGAGCAGTGGTGGGGACATCTCCAAGCTGAACACACTCCTGTCTCCCCTGGAGAAGGAGCAGGCTGGGTTATTCCTTTCTGTCATTAAAGCAACATTTCAGCCCTGGTTTTATAAGTAAAACCTTACAAAAGGAAGGCCTTGTAAGACACAGTTCAGGCCTTACTACTCCAGCAAGCTAGCCTGGTAAGTTCCCATAAGAGTAAAATCCTGTAACAGTGAAAATCTGCTTATTCTGGTGAGAAAGAATTCTAAGACTGTAACTGTTAACAGCACCTATAAAAACTATCCTGAATCATTAAAAATGTGAACAATATCTAAAAAGAGATGCTTCCAAGCACATAACCACCTCTAGTGAGATACCCAATCAAGGTAACAACTAGTTACCAACCAATTAGAATTAGGCACAATGGTTTTAGAAAACCCTATAAATTCGGGCTCTAATTAATAAAGACACCTTCTTTTGCTGCTTAAACAAATGTGTCTCATCCATCTCTAACTCAAGGGCACAATGACAGTTTGAACACACCTGGGAGGGGCAGAGGGGTCTGAGAATGCTTTTTGCTCTGTTTCTCATGGTGGTTTCTCATCCTCTTCCCCTCACAGCAAATGTACATTGCCTTTGTGAAGAACTCCAGGTTCACCTCTCCCAACGTGCTGCCCATGATCAACTTCATGCAGCGCACGCTGACGGAGCTGCTGGCCCTGGACACACACACCTCCTACCAGCACACCTTCATCTACATCCGCCAGCTGGCCATCCATCTGCGCAGCGCCATGACCCTCAGGAAGAAGGTGGGCACCCCTCCTTGGTGGGGAAGGAATTTTCTCCCCCTTCCTAGGAGGAAATGTGTGGAGAGGAGGAATTGCAGTGACCACTTTGGTGGTGTGGGAGCCGTTGTTGGGGCTCCAGGGAGCACCTGGGAGTTGTCTGTGCTAAAATCTCAGCCAGGAAGGAGAAGAAATGGAAGCTTTGGGGTGACCTGAAAGGAGTCTCGGAGTAAGGCTCTGTCCAGCTATTTCCGAGGGCCTGCAGTGGCAGGATGGAGGGGGATGGATTCACACTGACAGGAGGGTTAGATTGGATACCAGGAGAAAATTCTTCCTTCTGGGAGGGTGGGGAGCCCCTGGAATGGATTTCCCGGAGCAGCTGTGGCTGCCTCATCCCTGGAAGCATCCAAGGCTGGGTTGGATGGAGCTCAGAGCAGCCTGGGGTGGAGGAAGCTGTCCTTGCCCATGGGGGATCTTTAAGGTCTCTTTGAACCCAAACCCTCCTGCAGGGTGGGAGTTGCTTTTCTCTCCCACTTGCAAGAGTTTGTGCTGCATTTTTCCACCTTGAATGCCCTTTTCCCACTCTGAGGCTGCTGTTTGCAGCCTCTGTTTCAAAACCTGCAGGTAAAGCAGCTTAGGAGCCACCCTGGGGTGTTGCACCTCCCCAGCAAAGCCCGTGCTGTTTAAGGGACTTAACTGAGCAAAGCAGCTTTGGGGAGCAGCCCTGGTTTCAGCCCCCTCCAGTCTGACCTGGGAAATCTGAGTCAGTTTGCTAATCCTGGATTTAGTCCTGTTTAGCAAAACAGACCCCCCAGATTAATTGTTCAGCTGCCCCCAAACAGGGCAGGGTTGGTGCCCAGCTAAATCTCCTGGCTGGTCAGACATGGGGATAAATAAGCAGAGATAAATGGAGTCTGGGCTGCAGATCCCCTAATTGGATTGCACTGGCTCCTTACACCCTCAGTTGTGGCCCAGACAGGGAGTAAATCCACTTGATTTCACAGCTGGGGAGGGACTTCACATGGGAATGGCACCGCCAAAATGTCCAAATGCAAGCACTAAGCCTGTTTAAATGGAGCAGGGGATGGTGGTGGAAGGTGATTACCAGAGCAGATTGCTCGTCTGTTCCTCAGGAGGAGTTGAGAAAAGCTTTCTGGTACATCTCAGTGACCTGGGGAGAGCTGGCAGAGCTCTGCCATGTCCAGCTGTGCCTTGGCTTAAGTCCCTGCTGCAAGGTTTGGCCCAGTGGCTGCAGTTAAAGGATTCTGTCCCTTCTCAGGACTCGTGCATCCTGCTTTTCCATGCAGAACAGATGAGCTGGGCCTTGGAAGTCTGGAAAAATCCACAAGTGGGGGCTGAGGCACATTGTGAGTGCAGCCTGCTGTGGTATTGGGTAATACCTGCAGAGCTACAGAACTTTTAGGGAAGGGTTTCCTTCAGGGACTCTTGCTCCAGCTGGGCATTTATTCAGTCTGACACTAAGAGCTGCTGCAGCACCTGCCCAGAGTCTTGAAAACAGTGTCCTGGTGCAAGCCTTGGGCCACTCTTGGCCATGCTGCTGAGCCAGGCTGGCTCTGTCACTGCTGTCACCATGTCACTGCTGGCCTGGTGCAGTGCTGGTAGCCAGAGCTCTGCTCTGCTGCCTGCCACTTCTACCCTACAGCTACAAAAAGTGAAGCTGTCCTGGGTGATGTCCTTCCCAAAAGTGCTGAGCTGATCATTTGCTGCAGTGATCAGCTCAGGATTCCCTGTGCCTGCACATCCCAGTGCCTGCTGTGAGGCTGGAGCTTGTCCTTCTCATAACAGCCACGCCTGGGCACCAGCAGGCTGGTTTTATTCACTTGATTTCCTTCAGGCACTGACTGGTACCCAGTGAACTTGCTGCCCTGGGAATGGCAGCTCCAGTGTTGTTATTCCTCCCTGGGAATTGCAGTGTCCTGGATAAAACAAGGAAGCAGGGTGAGCACCTATCAAAGACCACATTTTCAAATTTCTGCCTATGTTTTTTCCCTCTTTCCTGCAGGAGAACTTCCAGTCAGTCTATAACTGGCAGTACATCCACTGCCTGTACTTCTGGTGTCGAGTTCTCAGCACCATCCACCCCAGTGAGGTCCTGGAGCCCCTGATCTACCCCTTGACACAGGTCATTATTGGCTGTATCAAGTGAGTAGAAGCCTTAATTCTTTTTGCTCTGCTTTGTGTTATTTTACAGCTATGTGATTTGGATTTAACCATGAATGGCCATCAAACCTGCTTTTAATTGAAATTTTTCCAGCCCAAGATGTGTGTGAGCAGCTGTTTAGGTGGTGACAGAGTTGTGGTGTGGGTTCTTCTTTCCTCTTTGTGTAAGAAAAGTCTCAGTCTGAATAACCTGAGCAGATTATCCTTGTAACTGCAAGGAAAATGATCTGCCTTGCTTCAGAAAATCCTCATCTGCAGCTCTGTAAATTCATTTAGAAGCTGCATTTTTGGTGCCTGTTTGTTTGGATTTGAAGAAGTGGGACACAGTTGTTATTTTCAGGATGTCTGCTGAGAATTCCCTCCTCCCATCAGTTTGTGTGAATGAAATGTTTGTGCTGTGAGGTGGCTGTTAACAACGAGCTTTGAGGGAATTTTGGGATCTCTGGTGATCTCCCAAATCCTGTTAGCTCTGTTAACCAGATTCTCAGCTTTAAAACCCAGGGCTGGAGCAACTCCCCAGCAGTGATGAAGATAAGCAGATTTAAACGATCAGATAAGAGGATGCAAACATCCCTCCTGCCTTCCCCACTGCTCCTGGGATGGATCCAGGCGGCTTCCTACCTGTCCAGCAGATAAATCAGGGATCTGGGGCCGAGGAGAGGGGAGTGGGGGGAGGCTCAGCAGGTTCTTCAGCAGCTTGGCATGAGCTGCAGGTACTGCCTGGCGAGGCTTTGGAGGTTTGGGAACCCCCACAGATGGGTTTGGGGTGACCTCACTGTGGCCTTCCAGGACCTAAAGGAGCTACAAGAGAGATGGAGAGAGGATTTCTGAAGGATGGAGGGACAGGACACACAGGGAATGACTTTAAACTGAGAGGGTGGCTTCAGATGAGATATCAGGAAAAATTCCTCCTCCTAAGGGTGGTGAGGTCCTGAAATAGATTTCCCAGAGAAGCTGTGGCTGTCCTATCCCTGGAGTTGTCCAAGGCCAGGTTGGCCAGGACCTGGAGCACCCCTGGGATAGTGGAAAGTGGCCCTGCCCATGGCACTGGATGAGCTTTAAGTCTTTTCCAGCCCAAACTATTCCATGATTCTGTGATTCCAGCACTGGGAAAACAGAAGCAGATCCCACCTGGATTCCTTCCCAAGCCAGGCTGGTGGCTGGGATGTCGAGGAGGCAGATTGGCAGGTGTGGGGATGCTGTGGCTCGGTGGGACAGGACACTGGTGACCTCTGCAATCCCTTTCTCCTGCTCCCGGTGTGCTGTGGGGTTTATCCCGAGGGATGGACGGGAGGAGAATCCCATTCCCTGCTGTCCCCTGTGCCGGGAGGTGGCGCCTGGCTCCAGCACAAGGACAGTGTCCCTGTGTCCCTGGGACCTGCTCCATCCTCCCTGGCCTGCTTTTAACCCCTGTGCTGGCCCCTCTCCTTGCTGATGGGTGTTTGCAGCAGCAGAAGCTCCTGTTCTGGTATCCCTCTTTCCATAAACTTTTCCTGGCCTTCCCTGCTCAGGTTTGTGCCCTGCTCCCAGTCTGAGCTGTGAAAATGCAGCTGTTCCCTGGTGTGTGTGGTTAAATGAGCATTTTTGGATCCTGTGCATTCCAGCCTCTCAGCAGGTGCAGGGAAGGAAGCAGGGCCAGCCTGGGTGACCTGGAGCAGAGGCTGAATTGCTGTGTCCCCTCTGGCCACCAGGGCTGTGACAGAATGGGCTGTGCCAAATCAGACGAGCCTTGAGACTGTTCCCAACAGCCTGGGAGAAGGGCAGGAGCCATTCCAAGTGATGGGAAGGTACTGGGGACCCTGCCCTGAGGGGGAAGGAGTCACTTTGGAGGGACTGGGAGTTGGAGCTCCCTGGGCAGAGCTGGTCCCAGCGGTGTTTGTCATTCCCTGTGCATCCAGCCCTGGGATGTGGAGCGGGCTGTGGCACAGCCACACACTCTGAAATGAATGGGTTTGGTTTACAGTAAATCCATACACTTAGCAGCTTTATTCCTTGATCAATTAATTCCTGAGAATGGCTTTCGTCATCTCCAGAGGTGCCAGAGCAGGCGTGCAAAGTAGATTTATTTCTGTAATGGGTCCAGTGATAATTATTTCACTATTTGGAAGGGGGATGCAGCTGATTTATGGTGCCTGGTCAAACATTTTGATTTTGTGGGCTCTCCTGGATTGCTCAGCAAGTCCTTTGGGGAGGGAGGGGTTCATTTATCAGCTTGGGTCTGTCATCTGTGAGCTGTAGTTTAAAAACATAACATTTTTAATGCTGGAGGCTTCTGTGACTTCAAGTGCAGGTCATTGAGTGAGGAGCTTTAGAATGGGACAGAAATGAGTTTTAGGGGTTGCTCTCCATTCTCTGCCTGCTCCTGTGGGAGGTGATTCTGCTCAGTAATTTTGACAGGCTCAACTTTTGTCTTAATTACCTTAATTATTTGAAATATGAGTGAAAGTCAGTCAAGGCTCTTCCCTCTCCTCCTCCTCTGGGAATTTTATTTTCCAGCTATGGGATGGCTTCAGCATCCAGGTTGCTGTGCAGATTTCTTCAGCAGGGTAGGAAATGCTTTCCTGTGTCAGTGGAGGCTGCAGGTGCAGTTCCTCTATCAATTTGTTATCATTTATTTTTATTTCTTTTTCCTGCCCAGGCTGGTGCCAACATCTCGGTTCTACCCCCTGCGCATGCACTGCATCCGTGCCCTCACCCTGCTGTCCCAGAGCACCAGGACCTTCATCCCTGTGCTGCCCTTCATCCTGGAGGTGGGTTGGTCCCTGCTGGCCCCTTCTCCCTGCTAAAAACACTCACTGCACCCACCAGCAGCTCCCAGGGGTTCTCATTTTGCCCCCTAAAATCCCTGGAAAACAGCACCAGACTTGCTGAGAAAATAGGATTCAGCTTTTGTTGTCTTTGAGATGTACCTGAGAGCAGCTGGGGACAGAGAGGCATCCCCAGGGGGTTGAACTGGAGCAGCTGGAGTAGGCAAAGGAGATGCCAGGGAAATTCCAGCTTCAGCTGGCTGCAGGAGTTGCCCAAGCTTGCTCCTGTGGTCATCTCCTGGTGAAGGCAGAGTTGTTTCTGACTCCAGACAACGAGAAATGGAAGAAAAACAAAACACTTCAAGAATTAAAAAAAAATATTTAGGAAGATATCTGTGAGAACTTGAGCTTGGCGTAAGGCTGGCCACTGAGGAGGAGGAATAAGGCTGGAATGAGGGCCTGACCCAGCCAGGCTCACTCCTAATCAAGCTCTCTTGAAGGCAGAGGCTTCTGTGGTGTGGGGTTGTTGTAAAGGTCCCTTGCAAACCACATCCTCAGCCTGTGGAATGTTTATAAACCTCCTGCTCCCTGGCCTGGGTGGCTTTGCCATTGCCCTGCTTCCTTCCTCTTGCTCCTCTTGTGTCTGAAACCCTGCCAGCCAGATTTCGGGATGGAGCATTTTCCCTCTGAGGTCATGGCCCTTTTGCTTTTTAGTGCTGTGAGAGAGAAAACTCAGAGCCTTCCCCCCTCTTTGCATTCTGGCCCTGACACCTTGTCCCTAATCTGGCTGTCAGGCCCCAGCCAGGTGTCACTCTGCACCCTCATCTCCCTCAGGTGTTCCACTGATCACCCTGATCACCCTCCATTGATCACCCTGATCACCCTCCATTGATCACCCTGATCACCCTGATCACCTTCCACTGATCACCCTGATCACCCTCCATTGATCTCACTGATCCACTGATCATCCTCCATTGATCACCCTGATCACCCTCCATTGATCACCCTGATCACCCTCCTCTGATCACCCTGATCACCTTCTATTGATCACCCTGATCACCCTCCATTGATCCCACTGATCACCCTCCATTGATCCCACTGATCCACTGATCATCCTCCATTGATCACCCTCCATTGATCACCCTGATCACCCTCCATTGATCACCCTGATCACCTTCCATTGAACTCACTGATCACCCTGATCACCCTCAGGGGTTCCCACTTGTGGAGGGCTCCCTCCCTGGAGATCTGTCCCCTAAGATAAGAAAGAAGTACTTAGTCATGGTGACTGAGCTGTGGAGCCCTTCCTGCACTGGGACCCCATGTTATCCTCAGTTACATCCTCAATTACTCACACCCCGTGTTATCTCCCTGTGAACTGTTGCTCATTTTACCCCATCTCAGACCATTGGTCCCTTTCCCAATTCTCCCCTTCCCTATAAAAGCCCTGTTTTTTGCCCAGTTCAGTGGATGTGGCCCTCCCTGGCTCCCTTTGCTGATGCCTCCCAATAAAGGACCCCATGAAACACCATACAGCACCCCCTCTCTTGACTACTGGGGTAACCCATGAGCGGAGCTGGGCTGATCTGAGCTATCACAGAGCCAAAATCCCTGCTAAAACAGCTGATCACGTGAAGCCTCAGACTGCTCCTGAGGGTTACCCCTGGCTGGAAGCTGCCCAAGGCTCCCTGGACAGCCATTCCTTCCAGGACCCCTGTCTGGGGTGGCAGAGCTGGGGGTCAGACAGACCCCTGGAACCAGCCATCAACACCCACTCAGCACCTTGACCACCCTCAGTGGTTACCCTGACCACCCTCAGCTGTTCCCACTCAGCACCTTGACCCCCCCAGGTGTTCCTTGACCCCCTCAGGTGTTCCCACTCTGCCTTGTGTGTTCCAGGTGTGGGAGGTGACCTGCCCACGATGCTTGGGTGGCTGTGGTGGTGCCCAGCCAGTCCTTTAGCTCTAAACCTGACAGCCCTCAGGTTTACCAGTGATTTGTCTGTAGATGTCAATCCCACACTACACCTTGCCCTGAACCAGAACCCCTTTGAAGCCCCATACCCAAAGCATCCCGAAGGGTCTCAGTGGGGTGTTGGTACAAGCAGGGTGTGATCTGGGGCTGGAAAGGGGAATGAAGAATCCCAGGAAAGGATGTGCTCCATTTGATAGGAAGGGGGAAAACTGCTCTGTTCTAGCTGAATCCAGGAGCAGTGAAAGAGCAGCTGTGGAGTTTGTGACCCTGGTGTGGGCAGGTTTTGGAGAGGGCTCTGCAGGGTCTGGACAGTGGGTTCTGTGGAACTGCTGGTGAAGGAGTGACTGAAACTCTGCATTTCCCTCCTGCACCAAGCACGCTCAGCCCCGTGGCTGCTGCTCGTTCAGGGGACACAGATGGAGTGCCTGTGCATTCCCAGAGGCACAGGAATTCCCCAAATGCCATGGGAAGTGAGAGCTGGATGGGCTGATGCAGTGGGAGTGCTGTGGTGCCGAGCTGGTTTGCACTCTGGAGTGGGAACTGTGTATCCCAGCTCCCTTCCTGCTCCCCACATGGAAACTGGGAGTGCCAAAAATCCCTCTCCTTCCTGCCTGTGCTGCCCTGTCCTTCCCTCTGTCTGCCAGTGGTTATCCCTTCAGCCACATGGCTGGCTTGTGACGTTTTGTGGCCCTCTGGTCCCTCATTATCCCCTTCCCAGCCTGCCCCAAGGATTCCTAGACATCAGTCACGCTGTGCCTCAGCCTGGCTGTCAGCCCTCAGGATGGGAACCACACTTCCTCCCCTTCCCAGCTCCCTGCCACCTCCTTGGCGAGTTCCAGAGCCTCTGGCTGCACTTCCCTGCCTGCCTGGAGGCATGGGAGGATCCCAGGGAGCCCCCATGCCTTTAATGTGTCTGACCTGGGGGATCAATAGCTCTGTTTGGGCCCAAGAAATAACTGTGCATAACGAGGTTTATGGCATCGATTGCCCAGGCAAGGGCTCTTTGTTTGCACGAGCCCCCACACTCGTCCCTCCATTCCAAATAACCTGGATTGACAAATAAAATGTAAAGAATCAATAACAGTCTCCTGCTTCTGTGGCCTGGGGGCACTGCTGTGACCTGAGCAGCCTCTCCCTCCTGCTCCACTCAGCCTCCCCTGTGCTGCATCCCCACCGTGCTGGGCTGCTGATGGATGTGCTGCTGCTGCACACAGGGAAGAGAAATGATTTCCTGCTCAGGAGGGCAACCTCAAAATGTTTGGGCACAGGGAAAGAGGAGCTGGGGCTGCTCCAGTGAGCAGGACATGCTCCTCACCCCTCTCTGGGTGCCATCAGATGTGCAGATGTCATCAATTGGTGGCTTTTTTGTTGTTTAAATGAGATTGAAGCCTTTTGATTGCCACTGGGATCCTCTGGTGGGGAATCTCTGGGAATCTGCCTCATACCCAGTGGTTTGAGCAGTTATTTCAGTGGCAATAGTGAATTTGGTGTAAGCATCACTTAGGTTGGTCTCCTCTTCACACCACAGCACCTGTCCCAGCCAGGTCTCCACAGCTTCAGGTCTGCTTGGTCCCTGTTCCTGGCTGGGATATTTAGGAAAGCTGTGGGGCAGTGATGAGGATTTGGGGTTTCTGGATTGCCTTCTTGGCTCTGTCACCACCTGCATGCTCTTGGCTGAGTTGTTTGGTGGTTGCTTTGTGCTGTGATCACCTTTACACTCTTTCCTTTTTTCTCTTCCAGGTTTTCCAACAAGTGGATTTCAACAAGAAGCCAGGACGGATGAGTTCCAAGCCCATCAACTTTGCTGTGATCCTGAAGCTCTCCAATGCCAACCTGCAGGAAAAGGCCTTCAGGGTAGGTGGGAGCTCGGCCTCCAGCAGTGCCTGGTTCCCTGTGACAAGGAATGTGCTCCGTGTCCCTGTCCCCAAAGGCTGGAGATGCCGTTCCCAGGCTGGGAAATCCCCAGGGTTTAGGTGCTGTAAGAAATCTGCAGGGTTTGGGTCATACCCAGTCTCTTGATTTGTGTTTCCTCTGTTCAGGATGGACTCATTGACCAGCTCTATGACCTGATGCTGGAATATCTCCATGGCCAAGCCCACAGCATTGGCTTCCCAGAGCTGGTTCTCCCCACTGTCATCCAGGTAAGGGGACAGACACTTCTGGTGGTGCCATGAATGTGCACTCAGCAGGATAAAGTCATTTAAGCTAACAGTGAACTCAGGATGGTCCTCAAAATGAGCAGAGAGCCATTTACCTTTGCTTCATTTTAATTTTTATTTGTGTTTTGGGGAGTTGTTGGAGAGAAGCAGAGGCATCACATCTAATTAGGCTGGAGGCAGGGGAAAGTGGCTCTGGAGTTTGTTATCTGTTGGGAGCCAAAGTGGAGCAGAAGCTGCAGAAGTGCTGTAGGATGGGGTTGGGATGATGAACTCAGGGGAGTTCTTGGGGATTCAGAGCTGTCCCAGTTGCTGGGGGGTCTTGGAGCAGAACCTGTGCTCTGAGCCCAGCTTTTTTTTCCTTGTCCTCAGCCTCCCCGAGGTGCTCTCCACAAGATGGCAATCTTCCCTCCCAGTCTTCCCTCTCAATCTTCCCTCCCAGGCTTCCCTTCCCCAGTTTTCCCTTCCTCAATCTTCCTTTCCCCAATCTTGCCTTCCAATCTTTCCTCCCCACTCTTCCCTCCCTTCTCAGGCTCCCTCACCTGGAGCTGCAGGCAGCACTACTCGCTGGGAAAGTGTTGGAATGTGTTCCTACATTCCCAGCCCTCTGGTTTTAACTCAGGAGCGGCTGCTGTCACATTCCCACATGGGGACACGAACCTCTGCTTGTCCTGGTGTGTGCCACGAGCCCCTGCACACCTTGGGATGCCCCTGACTGCTGGGGCAACAGGGGCTGTGCCCCCCAGGCAGTTTGGGGTGCCCCTGGCTGCTGGGGGAGCACTGGCTGTGCCCCACAGGCAGTTTGGGGTGCTCCCCAGGCAGTTTGGGGTGCCCCTGGCTGCTGGGGGAGCACTGGCTGCTGGGGGAGCACTGGCTGTGCCCCACAGGCAGTTTGGGGTGCTCCCCAGGCAGTTTGGGGTGTTCCCCAGGCAGTTTGGGGTGCTCCCCAGGCTGTTTGGGGTGCCCCTGGCTGCTGGGGGAGCACTGGCTGTGCCCCACAGGCAGTTTGGGAAGCAGAGCT